GAGAGAAAGAAAGAAAGAAAGAAAGAAAGAAAGAAAGAAAGAAAGAAAGAAAGAAAGAAAGAAAGAAAGAAAGAAAGAGAAAGGAGGGATTGTGGAATAACCATACTCCACTGGGGGGTTGCTTTTTCTCCCCTCGCCCACCTCTTTCTGTCTCTCTGACAAGTGCACATACCTTCTAGCAATATATATACATGTATTAAAAAAAGAATATTGATTCTTCCAATTAATGAACATAGCACATATCTTAATTTATACTTTTTATATACTCTAACTTCTTCTCAAAAATGTTTTTGTAGTTTTCCTTTTCTGGGCCATAGATCTGGTAAATTACATTGATTAGTTTCAATGGTTAAACCAACTTCACATTTCTGGGATAAACGTGGTTCAGCATGATATATTATCTTTTATATATTTTTAAATTCAGTTTGCTAAAATTTTGTTTAGACTTTTTAGATTTATGCTCTTGAGGTATGTTGGTTTGTAGTTTTTCAAAGAACTTAGGTAGAATAGGTGTTCTTTCTTCTCTAAATGTCTGATTAAATTCATCAGTGTGGACAGGTTTGTAATGATTAGTTTAATTTCTTTAATAAATAATCCAACTACTCCATATCTATTTCTTTTTGAGTGAACTTCAGTAGTTGTATCTTTCAAAGACTTTGTTCGATTCATCTAAGTTGTCACATTTACTGCCAAAAGCTGTTTGTAATTTTATTTTATTTTCCTTTTAATATTGGTAGGATGTCTAGTTATGTCAGGTCTCGCATTCATGAGGCTGGTAATTTGTGCCTTCTCTTCTTTTATTCTGAGCAGTCTGGGATGAAGTTTATAAATTTTATTGATCTTCTCACAAAACCAGTGTTTATTTTATAGGCACACTCTCTTTTTTTTAAATGTTTATTATTTTATCGATCTCTATTCTGATCTTTAAATTGTTTACTTTTTTTCTTCTTCCTTTGGGTTTAATTAGCTCTCCTTTTTCCAGTTGCTTAAATTGGGAACTGGGGGTCACTGATTTGAAAACTTTCTTCTTTTAATATACACATTTGTTGTGATAAATTTCCTTCATATACTGAATTCACTGCATCCCACAATTTAGAAATGCTGCATTTTCATGTTCATTCAGTTCAGATGTTTTGTAATTTCATCTCTGCTCTCTTCTTTGAATTGTGGGCTATTTATTAGGTGGTCAGAAAACTCATGGCATATTTTTCTATGCGAAAATGCATCATGACCTTCCTGACAGCCCACTATATGTAGTTTTTATATATAGTATAAAAAATATATATATATACTAACATATATGCTGTGTGTAAGTGTGTGTATATATTATATAAGTGTATATATATACAATGTACTATATAGTATATATTTATATACTATTATATATACTATACATATAGTATATATATTTAGATACCATATATATACT